ATTACAAGTCAGCCTGACATTCCTGGGGGGCTTGTGCTAGGTAGAGCTGGGTTTAGAGGGCACAGTAAGGGCTGCCTGCGTCTTCTGTGCTCACCCACCTCACCTGAGGTGAGTCATCTTCAGCCGCCCCAAACCACATCTTTTCATACTCTTTCTGAGCATATTATAGAAGGTGCAATCTCTATGACAGGTTTCTGTGCTTAATTCACACAGCAAGCAATCTTACTAGTCAAGGGGGTGATTTAATGGCAAGAACAATTTATTTCCCTCTGGGTAGGTAGAAACAGTTGGACTCTAATTCTTAAGAGCCTTTGTTCAGGAACATCTGGGTTGAAACTACTGTAGTTAACAGATGATGTTGGCAGTAAAAAAAAAAAAAAGGCATTGTAATGTCGTTGTCAAATTTGGTAGACCTCTACTTAATAATTATCAAGAAAGCAATCTAACTTGTTATTGCAACAGTTTTATTGCAGATTGCTGGTTTAAGACCTTTTTGTGACAAGTGACTTTTTTTTTTTCCAGGAAAGAAGTCATTTCTAGTCCCCTGTAATTATTTTTGCAATTGGCAACAACTTCCTGCATTGGACATACTGGGACATTTTATTTTAGAAACCAAGAATTGATAACTTATGACTGATTTTTCCCCATGTATCACATAGAAGACTTTTTTGCTTCCTCCTATCCTTTACCTCGCCCTAGCATCCTTTCTCATCCCACCCAAGTCTTGTAGACACTGAGATGCCATGGAGTGAGTAAAATCATAAAAATGACTAGAAAGCCTGGATGAGCAAAGCCCATTTTGCTTTACAAAGTGGTGTCTAATGATGCAAGAAAATATTTAACTTCAGGATATTAATTCTAGGTTGTTTGAGGCTTACTCTTGGGAATGAATCCCTTATAACAGGATCTGTAGAGGGTATCCAGGATAGAGATTTCAGTCTGTACCTTAGAATTGTATTTACATCTTCACCTAGTGGACTGAGGGCTGAAACTAAATTCCCAGAGCATATCAAGGTTGCTATTTCCTTCTACACCTCTTTTTCTCAATCTTTCTGCTTCTGTTGAGTAAGACAAGAAGCACTTTGTTTCATGATTCTACACTTGTTTCCTTCCCTTCTCTGCTAATCTAGACTCTCCTAGTTTATCAATTTATCTTTGCTATATCATACCAGCAACTTAGGAAATTCTGCTCACTATTCATTCATAATATATTTAATCAGCACTTATTAAAAGCTTACTTTTTTGCATTGTGCTCAATGCCAGATAGACAAAGCATGGCTCTTGCTTTGAAGAAGCTCAATCTAGGGGGCTGAGTGATGAGCACACACTGAGCACCACACTATAATGTAGCCAGTCCCCTCTTTACTCTTCCACATAGCACCCCCACTAGGTGCAGCCTAAGCTCAGCAACCTGATATTGGCCAATTCCCTATGGAATAATCTAAGGAAATACCTGATTTAACACAAGGGGGGACACTGTGTTAAACTATAGTTATGTTTCCAGCATAAATTGTAAATTACTTAAGATTTGTATTTAGTAGACATCCAGAGAAAGCTTCTTAGAGCAGCTGTCAAAAACTTAGATGCCTCTAGGCGATAGGCAAATAGCAATAAAGAGTAAGATGTCTGAGTAATAGGGAGTGGTGGGGACTGTGGCACAGTGAAGATTATGAGTCCCATTCAGAGGGATAAGTGCTTCAAAACTCCAGAGTCTTTTAGACATTTAGAAAATGTGCCTCTAATGTGGCCACATCTGATTTTCAAGGAAAACTGAAAAGATAATTTTTATATGAAATGGCTTATTATTCTCTAATTCCAATTTTTAAAAAACACTGCACTTACCAACAGAATATGTGTGCATATTGGTCTTGTGGCCACCCCTTCATTTCCTCTGTTTTTATGAGAAGCATCTGTTAATCACACTGTACTGAGACTTGAGTTCCACTTTCAGCATTACTACACAAAATCCGCCTTAACCTTGAACAACTTGCTTGATTTCTGCTTTTTTTTTTTTTTTTTTTTTACGTATTTGACATTTGACATTGAGCTTGTCACTTTCCAGCCTCTTTGGACCTTGAATTTTCTACTGGGCAGTGCTAGCCAATCTTGAAGTTCCTGAATCTGAAAGTCTGTGATGTGAGACTTGGCAGAGAATCACATTGTTTTCATCATTCTGTACCTCTTCTCTCTGTTCCTTTGGCCAGCAAGCAAAAGTCTTATTTTGAGTGAAAGTGTTTTTTAAAAGAGGCTTCTATAAGGCAGTTTAGAGTTACCTTACATATGGATTTGAAAGTTGTAAAAGAAAACCCAGAGATCTGTTGTTCCACCCCCTGCTAGGTAAGGAATGTACACAAGGCCACTTAGATTTTATCGATTTTGCTGCATTAGAAAACTCCTTTCTTTTTATATCTGGTTGGTAAATGGTATTGCAGGAGCTAGGAACACATCATTTATTACTATGATCCATTTCTTCTCTTCTCACCAGTAGGATCAGATCCTTTTAAGCAATTAAGATCCTTGATTCCATGAACCACCAGAGTCCCAAATCATTGCTCATGGAATATCAACAAATTGGCCTTTTCATGATCCAGGCTAACTTAAGGTCAGCCTTCTCCTTGAGTTTTTGGCATTTAACTGCTATTCACATTAGAAAGTGGTTACTTAATCTGGTAATTTGGTTCAACAAACATTGCATAAGCTATCTGATATTTTAAACAATTTAAGCACAGAAGTAATAGCCCCATAAAGGGTGCATGCTAGTAGTGCTCTATGGGATATAAATTAAGAAGAGCATTTTTCCAGCTGTAGTTGGATACATGGGTTGATATTTCAGCAAACTGCATAATCAGCACAAAGTCCAAGTCATTAGTGTTTGTTGGCAGGAATCAGAAAACCTGCAAATCACCAGAAGAGCCCAAGTACACTTGCATGGAAGTGGTCCTTTGAAATCTGTCTGTCTGTTGACAGCAGTACTTGGGGACCAAGGCCTCACATGTAGGAATGAGCGGTCGGTCTCATTCCCATCAGATAGCTTGAGACCTTCCCTAGCATGTTACCTGCAAGCAACACATCCACATGTCCAGCACACCTGGTTATGCCTGATTTCTATTTAAAGCTAACCAAAAGCCTCCTATTGCACTTGAAATAGACTGAAAACCCCTTGCTGTGTCCATCAAAGTCTTCACTATCCTGCTCTCACCTGAACTGATCACCATCTCTGTCAGCATTGCTCACTGAGCTGCAGCCTAGCTGGCCTTATTGCTGTCCCTAAGGCTCTCTAGCTCCTTCCTGCCTCAGGACCCTGCACTTGTGGTGTCCTCTTCTTAGAAGGCTCTTTCTGCAGACCCCCTGCCTCTTTCCATCCTATTCTGGTGCTCTGTGCTCTAGTGTCACCTCCTGGACCAACATAGATGACATACCTTCTGGTACTCTGTCCTCTTAGGTGTTATATTTTCTACATAGTACTTTCTATCATCTGAAAAGTTATTATGTATTCACTTGTATATTTGTTTATTGCCTGTATTTCCCAATAGAAAATAGTGGATGAAGATGTCCTTCAAGGTACAAGGACAAGTACATGGATTTTCTGTACCTTACATACATCACCTATGATATAAAGATTTCAATGGAAATCTGAATAACTGGGGTAATATATCCATCTTAGGTATATTATGTGGATTAGGTGAGACCTTAGGGAGGCCCTCAACTGTGATTCGGCACCTTCTTCCCCTTGCAGTTTTTTCAGGTTCTTAAAACTTAAGTGATAATGCTCAGAGTGGAAACATATCATTCTTTTCTTTGTGAGTTTTTATTTATATGAGTATATATGTATATTTTCACCTAATTGCATCATGTCATTTGCATGTTTATGTTTGCATAATGTTATTTGTTGATCTTACACATTGTACTAGTCATCAAAAAGTCATTTTGAATGCTAATACCATGTTGTCCGATACTTTATTTAACCATTGCTGTATTATTGGACATTTATCAATAGATTGCTTTCAGTATTTTCATTTTGTACAAATAATACGATCTTAATATGTAAACATTTTTTATGCGTAAATATTTCGCTGAACCTTTGATCATTTTCTGAGAAAATGGGGAAGCCATTTGTTTACTGAGCTTCTCAGTATCCGTGGTTGCATGTATAGCAGTTTGGGGGATTGCAAACAAGTCCCATGTTCTTAGAGAAGTTACCCCAGTTGAGGAGACAAAGTTCAGAGACTCATGAAACCATAGGGAGCAAGCACAGCTAGCATAAAATCGACTAAAGCTAGGTGACATAGCTACAGACAGGGTGGAGAAGGAGTTCCCAGAAGTCAGAGGGTGGCAGTAGCTGGGAAGACCTCCAGGGGAGGTTAGCTTTGCCCTGGGCCTGGGAGCCTGGGTTAGGAGGAGAGGAAACCTGCTGGGGTAGAGATGCGGAGGCAGGAGCTGTCAGCCTCAAAGCAGCCTGGGCTGTGGGTGAGAGCACTGGGCAGATGAGGTGAGAGACAGCTTGGATGGAGTCAGGAGTGAAGGTGCCTAGTCACGTGCTGGGCACTTACATGGAGGCTAAAGATTATTGCCATCATTCTGAGCACACAGGGGTCTGCTCGGAACAACAATCTGAGCCATTTGTACAAAAGACCAAAATGGAATCCAAATAACAAGTCCAGCTGCTCCAAATACCTCCCTCCCCCTGCAGTTAACGTTTTACTACCTGACTGAGTAACTAATGAATCTGGCCCAGCATAAATCCCCCGGCACAAATCCCTGCTTGGGATCTGTGTCTAGACATCCAGACCTGAGTACAATTTTCACTTTGAACATTCAGCACCTTATCACTTGCAAATAATCAGGTTTGATGGGGAAGACACCCCTTGGCACAGTAACTATGGAAGGAAGGTCCCTGGGATAATAGTTGCATTAGGAGATGAAGAGGTTGTAACAGTGTTTGTTATGTGGCTCTGGTTATTCAGAAGCACTGACTGGGAGGTTTCTCCATCTCATTGCAGGCTGTGTTTTGTGAAGCTCAAGCTCCTAATGATAGCCATTGAGTACAAGTCTGCCAACCGAGAGAGCCGGTAAGTTTGCTATGACTCAGGGGTCAGCTGACACTGGAGACGGTGAGAATGCAACCTGAGAACACGGAGTCCTCTTCTCCCCTCTTACACACTTTTCATTTGCTTGGAACCCTGATGCCACATTTCTGTGTCTCTACGGCACATTTCAGGACATGCTTCCCCAGACACTGACACTTCTGTCCTCAATGCACCTGGCCTCCGGAGCCCCATGGGCATTCAGAGAGTGTTTCATGGGGGAAAGGGAGGAGGCACTCATGCCAACTTGTACTTTGCACTCTCGAAGCATAAAATTGGGGCGGACCCCATCCTAAAAGCCCTTTTTTGCCCTCTGTGAGCAAAAAGCAGGTGGACTCTGGCCTTCTTTGCAGCAGGCAAGGGGCAGAGCTGTGATGGGAGATACCAGCTCTCTTGATAGCCAAATTACAAGCAGCCTATTGTGTACCATATGTGCTTCTCCCGGTGCAACTGAAATCCAGGTGGCAGAATATCAGCTTCATGTAAATTAGCCAGGAGAGCAGGGCTCAGAGGCAGGGGCTCTCTTTATTTATTTATTTTGCACTTAATTATGTACAAATCAGACTGATGAGGGACTGGGTCTGGTTGAAATAGATAACACCCCAGTCAATATATGAGTTCACGCTGGAAGAAGGCAGCATTACATTAACAAGGAATTTTGTTGATGGAGTACTGTATATATTATAGATAAAATAGGGATGATTTTTGCTCCCCAGTTCTTATCGATAGTTTTGTGAGAAAGGGAGCTCATTGAAAAATGCTCAGGCTTTTGTCCTCTAAAATGACATCCCTGGTTTGTTCCCAGCTAGAGTAAATAAGTCCTCCTGCAGAAATGTGGAGTGCAGCCTCCCTCCAACATGTGCCTTAATAACAGAGCAGAGTGCAGGGCAGGTCTCAAAGATTCCTGCTATCATCATTTAAGGAGTTTCCATTATCTGGATGAATGACTTAATAAAGCCAGACTTCCAAATGTACAATATGTGTCTCCATGACCAAAAAAACACTGGATTGGAAGCAAATCGATCCAATGTTTTCTGTTACCTTAACCACCAGATCAGATTACTCACAAAGTCAATCTGATCAAATGTGAAGCTATTTTGAAAATCCAAATCAACCAAAAGGAAGAAAAGACTGGTAGATTTGGTGGCCACATGTAGAACATGGCTGCAGCCATTCGCAAATATGTATATAGATATACATTTTTCTATCCCATGTTGGCAAAGTGAAGAATATTGTTTGCAGGAAAACTGAGAGTCCTGGCAATTCAAAGTAGCTGTTTCTGGGATCACCATTTGTTTATCTTGTTGCCAATACTTGCCTGTCCCTGTGTAGGGGAAACATGTATCCTGAGTTTTTGCAAATGATATTCTTCGTGTTGCCAAGTCAGTAAATCTCTGTGCACCTCAGTGTTATCTCTTTATCACTTTTGTGTATCTCTCAAAGAAGTGTCATGATGTGACTGATGCTGAATAGTGTCTCTCAACTCTTCTGGAATAATTTTCACAGCACCCTGAACCTTGACCACTCATCTCCCACCTGCCACCTTGCGGTCACAAGGAGGGAGAGAGAAAGGCTGTTAATGGTTCAGTGTGAATCCCCTGTCACCAGTCTAAGAAAAATAACTCAGAGCTTTCCCGGAAGAAAAATCTTTTTTTTTTTTTTTTTGAGGGATCTTCCAAGGAATTCACAAATCTGAGATGTTTTCAACAAAGCCGTGTTTGTAAACATAGGCAGTTTTTAGTTTTCTTTTTTTTTTTTTTAAAGAAATGGGCAAAAGAACTTGTTTGGCTTTGTTTTGGCTTTCTATGTGCAGTTGCCAGCTTTGATCTCAAATGTGGCTTGGTCTCAGTGTGGAAGCACATTGGTTCTTGTGGAAAAAGGTGTGTTTGAGGGAATGTGGATCATGCCTACGAGAAAACATGGTTAATATCAAAAGCAATGTCCATATTTAAAATAATTGAGATTTTTGACACTGCTAGATAATAATTTTGACTTTTGCCTTCACTTTAAAATTCCCTATTTCCAGTCCTTTCACATTTTCTAAGTCACCAGGTGTTAAAATTCAGAGAATCCTGCTTCTCCGTTCCACCCCCTGCCTCCAACCTATTTAACTCCCTCCTTTGTTGTCTCACCCCACGATACTGTTTCCATGCTTTGCTGAAAAACCTTGTTTTCACATGCATCCTTCGAATAATTTGAAACAAAGGTTTTATTCCTTCTTTCCTTCTGGTGTCAGTCAATTTATTATCAAATTGTTTGATTTTAAATTCTTTTCTTGTCGTTTTGCAGAAGCCGAAAGCGGTATGCACTCTTCGTTAACTTTCCTCCCAACCTCCACCCTCTATCTTCACTTCCAACCACAGGACTAACCATTTGTCAAGAATTCAGGAAGATAGAGATTATATATACATATACTTGTGTGTACATGTATATATAATCTCATTCCCTTGTGTAGTATATATCTATGTATTTTTACCTATTTTAAAACCCTCTCCACCCAGAGTACATAACATTGAAAGTAGCATATTGCTTTTCTTTGATTTGTTGATTCCTTTGATGACGCACTAACTTCTTTGCAGGAAACCTAAAAAAAAAAAAAAAAGTAGGCACCATCAATTCTGTTTTCAGATATGGCACCAATGATGGGAACAAGTGATATTAAAGTTGAAAAGGAGGACGTGTGTCTCCGGCCCTTGGTGTCTGTTTCTGTCCTGTCCTGCTGTGTCTCGGTGTCCACCAGACTCTGTGGGGCCATTTGTCTACATACCACATCCACATTCCCAGTGACCCCCTTCTCTCTGTGTCTGGTTTCCAGTTTGTAGAGCAGATTCATGTCCTTTTATCCACAAAACAGAGACCAAGTCCTTACACCTAACTCTTTCTTTCCACTTTCTTTGATGACATTTTGCCGATTTTATTTCTTAGGCAGTACTCAGTAAAGACTTGCAACACTGCTACTGAATCACCAGATTATCTCATTTGATTCACTCAATGAGTACTGTCTACGGAGATGAACTCATGGCTCTATTTTTTTTTTCCTAGCTTGTTTGGGCATGTTTCTCAGTAGGAAGTACCTCAACTTTCACCATGTGACCTCACCCTGTTTTGCTGCTATTTTATGTTGCATGAAGCATGACCAAATTGTCATCAATGACCTTTCTTTTTTTTTAACTTTTTGGGTTAATATTTCCAGTGTGGTTTTTCAGTAATGTTCTCTAAGACAGTATTGTTGAAAACATACTATTGAGATGCTCATATGTTCATCTTCTCAAGAGTTGTTTTTCTCTGTGGCTGTAATCACCATCATATGTTTGTGTTCGTATTTGTGTGTGTATGTGTGTGTGTGTGGTGTGTGTGTATGTATCTGGACCTCTTTCCAAAGTCCGATTCTTATGTTATTTTTTGAGTAGATGTGTGAAAATAGAGGTGGCTTCCTGACAGTTTGGTATTATTGATATGATCCAACTGCGAGAAGTTACTGCAACACTTTGCATCTTCAAAGGTCCACAGTGGTTGCACCTCTGCTCTTGGCTCTTGACCTTTGAGTCCTCTGATCTTGTGGTGAAGGCATGTTGTGATGAGGCATGACTCGTCCTGAAGTGTACCAGAAAGTCACGTGGCTTGCTCCCAGAACCAAACTTCCAGCATTATCCTCCCCCAAAGAACTATCTCTTCCCCTGCCCAGATGGCTATTTCCCTTATGTGCAAAATATATTTTAAAGTACCATTTCTAAAATTATTGAGATGGATTCGAGCTAAATAAGTCCTTGCTCGTGTCAATGGTGGACCGCGTGGTGGCTATTTGACTCTAACCAGCTGGGAGCAATCTTTATTATGCTGTCTTTGTGTAAGTGAACTTTGCTTAAGTATATCGAAGCATGGAAAACATAACTGTGTCTCTTCATACAATCTATAAGTAAAAGTGTGTGTGTCTAGTTGTGTGGGACTCCAGGCAACACGTATTTTGAAGTCCAGAAAAAATGAAAAGTTCCAGAAAGGCAATAAGATTTGAGATTTGGGTTCTCTGCAGGCTGTGCCCCAACATAGCCTGTAATGCAGGTTACTTGTACTTCCTGAGTGAGAAACAATTCGCTCAAAACCCTATCCAGTATCAATAGTAAATGACCTTGTTTGGTCCAAGAGGCCACTTGTTGGTGGTGTGATTCATCTGGGTACAGCATGAACAGAGGTCTTAGATACTGATTTTTCTCTTGTTCTGGTGAATGAAGTCCCATTAGCTTGCTAGACACAGATATAATTACCATGTTATCAAGTACAAGCTATAGTCTCATGTGAGTGATATTTTTGTAATTGCTTGGGGAATGGTACATTACACCTACCAAAATTTAAGGGGAGTGGAGAGAAATATGAAAAAATGTATCTTCATAATGGAGAAAAGTTTCCTTAAAAAAATCCACTTCAGCTGAATTATCAATTATTGGTTGTCTCCAAAATTACAAACAAGTATAGTTCATGACAATGAGAGAAAGAATCATGTTTCCCAGTTGTTGAGTCTAGTGATGGAGAAAGGGAATGAAGCATTTCCCTCTATTAAGCCCCAGATCTCTGACCTGACCAAGGTTCAGTAAGAGACACACACCACAGAACCTGGCACAATTGGAGGTCTCGAGCTCCTCTGCTGGAGGGACCTGGCAGGACAGGTCAACAGATCCTATACTCAACAGATCCCTGCTCAACAGATCCTATACTTAGGAACACAGATTTCAGCTCTACATGAGTAGTGTTTTTAATATTGCAGTCACTCCAACTCTGTGCTTTCTATTTTCCTAGCAACCATGTGTATTTGCGTATTTCTACTTACTGTGTCTGGGAGATTGTGGGTTCATTTGTTAACCTTCTCGCAGTAGTATGGACATTTTTTTGGTCGGTTTGACTGATGAGAATTGCAACTTAGACTTTGAAAGGACAGCTGTGATTACCTCTCTCCTTAGCAGAGAGAAAAGGAACAATTTTTGGAATTGACTCCAGTGGTATGTTTTAGCTTTTGTTTCTTTTCATTCAGCAAGTAGTTGAAAAGTGTCTATCGCAAGCAGGGCTTTATACTTGCTACTGTAAGAAACTTATTTACAAAAATAAATAAAATACAATCGTGGGCCTCCCCTGGTGGCGCAGCAGTTGAACGTTGGGTTGCGAGGCTGCCCGCAGCCTCTGCAGCACCACTTCGATCCCCGGCCACTGGCGAGGGTCCCACAAAAAAAAATACAATCGTGCTTTTTGTTACTCCTTAACTCAACTAATGGGTTCCCTACAGAAATACATATGTGCTTCATATAGTGGTGAGGGAACCAAGGCTAAGTCTAGATATGAATCTAGTCTGAGAACAAATGAAAGAGAGCAAGTATCCTTTGGGAAATTTGTGACTATCCAGATCACACTGGCCCCTTGTTGCCAGCTGTTGCTGAATGTTTGCAATTGAAATTAACAAGGTCATAGAAGAAAGAGGATTATTTATAGGTTCCTTGAAATGAGAGAAAGTCCACCTCTGCCAAGAAGATGTCCCTATTGGAATTCTGTTAATTGATATATGGGCTTTCTCTTAGAGATTTTTTTGATTCTTCACATGACACATCTTGAAGTTTATCTCTGATAAGCTAGTGAATTAGACAAAATTGGAGCCAGAGACTGATTTAAAGTGATGCACAGGGAGGGAGACTTTTGGCAGCCATGAGAACAAAACAAACTTAACATGGAATACTCTTTTAAGAGATCAAAGATCTTTGGAAAGATTTGCGTGTTCCCGTCGGGAGGTCAATAGCAAATTCTAAGGGTAGTAGGCACTCTGCAGGAAAAAACAAGTCACTTCTGTCTGGGAGCCTTATCTTTTCATGCTTTCAAAAAGAGGAAGATTAACACTATTTAAACTTTCTGTGTTTGGAATGTGAATAGAAGACTTAAAGTCTAAAATATCAAAAAGAGTAGTGTATTTCCTCAGAGTCTTTGGAACTTTGTACCTTGACGCGGGGAGTATTATGTGTCATGCTCCCCCAGAATCAGGGGCGCATGCTTCTTTCCAAAACCCTTAATTACATGAGTGAAATCCAGATCTCTTGCCTTCATTTGTCTCAAGAGCTGAGTTCCTTCTTTTGATTCCCATCCAGAAGACCGGCTTAGCCTGATCTGAATAGGCACAAATGATACAGCCTCACACCTCACATAGAGATGATTTCAATCCTCCCACCCCAGTCCAAGAGAGCAAGAGGGCCTCCTGGAATCATGCAGTCAGCGATATCCTTGGGGATACTTTTGGTGCCATAAAGTTTAATGGAGAAATCCTGTGCCGTGCAGCCAAAAGCCAATCCGAATTAGTCCATCTCCAGATGTTATGCAGGGATAAAATATTTTGCATAGTGCAGTGAGTAAAATGATCTTTCAATAAAAATAGGGTACCTCCTAAGTAGTTTATTATAATACCAAGGACAATATGGAAAACTGTAATGCTATGAGAAATTACCTATCTCTCATTTAGTTGTTGGAATTACCTTGCTTACTATTAATAGTAACCATGTATTAAGAACCTACTCTATGGTAGCACAAAGCATTTTAATTCTCGTAGTGACACTGTAAGGGTGTGAGTATTCATTTCATTTTCAGATAAGGAAAGTGAGACTTAGCTGTATCCATGTGGCCAAGGCCAGGCCCTGAACTCATGGGACTTGAGTACTTGCCTTGTTCTTGTACTTCTTCTTAACCCCCTGGTAGCAAACTTGAGATTTGAGCACAAACAAGCTTGCCATTGGTGCCTAGCATCTTTCCTCCCTATCACACTAACTTGACTAAAACAAGGTTGAAGGCTGTAATAAATTATCTCAGCCTGCAGCCTCTGGAATGACAATCCCCAATTCTCACTGTAGGCCAATTCTTGTTCACTGTTGATAAAGAACAAGGAAATAAAAAGAAACTTTTCATTGATAGGAACCTTGCCATCTCCGTATTCCCACCATGACACAGTGGGTTTTGATCACTGGAGTGCAATTAATGAAGCACGTAATGTAAAAAAAGGAAGTGGGGCTCTGTGCAAAGCTTGTTTTGTGCGAATATGTCACCTAGACATTGATGACTGTCAAATTTCTCCTTTTGAATTGCATTGTTGAAATCATGATAGGATTTTTTTTTCCACTCAGCTTATTTTACACTCTCATATGAATACATATCAAAATGTAGACTTTTCCAAATTGAAGACATTAGCTCCTCGATACTCCACAAGTACATGGAATTTTTCATGTATGTCCTTGTACATTATTCTGGATTATATAGTTCTTCACCAGTAACTTTACCTTATATGGACAGAGTACAGCCTGTGTGCCATCCATGGGACCAGCTAAAGAAAATCTGATAATTCCATTGAAAATAAAATATGCTCTTGGCTTATTTGGGGGCAATAATAAGTAGTAGAAAATAATAGCCAATATGCATTGAGCCTTCTGTGCCTTATCTCATTCTGTCCCCTAAGAAAGGCCACAATTACCACCATTCCCATCTGTTAGGTGAGAAAATTGAGTTCTAGGGAGGTTTAGTGACCCGCAGTCAGAAAGCTACTTCCTGGCAATGCTGGCAATTTGGATCCATTGTGTGGTATTGGCCAGGGCATGCAAGAACTGCCTCAAAGGAAAGAGGGTGTGAATGTGTGCAAAGTCCAGAATACTGCCTTTCTAAACATGACATTGGGTTAGCTTTAAGAAATGAATTCATTTAAACCTTAAGCTCTGACCCTTTGCCCCTCATGGTTGTGAAAAATCAGAGGACTGTTAAACAACATAAAGAGTTGGAGGGGAGCTGAGGAGATGTCTCCCCACACCCCTGCCCGTTGCCAGCTGGGCTCTTAGCAAAACCTGCGGTTTCCTGACTTCTGAGGGATCCCATTGCTGCCTGCCATTCTAGGGCTGAACAGCCATCTTCATAGATACTGGCGATTATTTAGCGTTAATAACAGCAATGGCACAGGATTGGCTTCCTTCTGTCAGGTCTCATTGTGGGTAATGGTGCTGTTCTTGTGACCACAACCATTATTTTGCAATAATGGTCCATTCTGGGCTTGCCCAAGAGAACAGAAACTCACCTGTGTCCTTCCTGTATAGCTATAGATGCATCACTCTGTCAGCCACACCACTTTTCTGGAATAGTTTTACCAACAGAAAAAGATTACATGTTAATTACCATCCTCCATTTTGATTGTTTTAGACAACTAGGGACTTCCTCTAGCCTGATTTCAAACATCTATTACCTTAAACACCAGCTTGTCAGATCAAAGAACATCTCTATTACTTCTATTGCTGCATTTAGACACCCTAAATTCCATGTCCATTAAACCCAAAGCCTCATCTCAGTCTGTGTAACACATTCCTGTATTCAGCTTTTGATCTGCAGAAAATTAAACTTGTTTGTTTCATCCATTTATTAGATTAGGACACATTTATCTCTTCTGTCGGTCCACATACAAATTGGTCTGCTAATCTATATATTCCACTTTGAACTAGGACAGTGTATATGTGGATTTATATTTTTTTGTAAGGGAAGGTTTTTTTAAGGGGTAATTTGCATTTGTTTTCTAATTACAATTGCCTCAATCAGAATATACTAGATGCACACCTTATCCAAACACTCCCTTCTGTTTTTTGTTTTTTTTTAAATAGCAGCCTGAAATCATTATTTCCAAATTCCTGCATTCTTCTTTTTCTCACTGTTTGGGTGTTTCTACATAGGCTGCACATGGAACCTACTTCCATGTCCTTATCAGTGTCATGCAGATGTTCTGTTTGCTTCTGATTGGTTATGGGTGTCTTGTACCATTCCCCGCAGTAATATGTGGTGTGTATACATGTATGTTTCCATATGCATATAGGGGTCCCATTAATGCTCTGTCATCTGGTGGAAAATTGGTGTAGCAATAGCTTTATTAATTAGACCAATTGCTTTATTAATTAGACCAATGTCACTCAATGATGGGCATCAACAGCAGTTTCCACAGGGTGGGATACATTATTACTTGCTTCAAGTCAGAAGCCCATGATGGCAGCCCTATTATGTAAACCTGGCCCTAAAACCTAAAACCTTTGATTTCCACAAATGGGAATATGCCAGCCTGGAAATTAAGCAGTAGAGCTTTATGATGGCATTATCCAACTAAATATGTACGACAGTAGAATCAGGCTCTCGACAAAAATCTTTGGGGACAGCATTAGACTAGTGGGGCCCCTATCAAATGAAGAATATGGTGTAGCCTTCAAGATTTTATTCAGAAAATGACCTTACAAATATGTCTTTTTTCTTTGTTTTTGTTCACTGAGCAGTATATTAATTAACCCTGGAAACCATCTTAAGATACAAGAAGGTACTTTAGGATTTTTCATCGCAAGTGATGCCAAAGAAGTTAAAAGGTAAGTGCTTATTTTAAGCTACCTTCCACTCTGGCCCCAACATAGGTATCTTAACCCATGGAGGTAGGCATGCTTTTCATATGTGGAGGACACTAACCTCATAATTCCTTAACAAGTCTATAAGGTGTCAAGTCTTCCAAAAAAGAGATTGTGCTTTCAAATGGACTCATGTTTATATAATCAATTTCATGTCTTTGGATGAAAAAATAACATTTTAGAACTATGAGGGCCTCATCAGCTGTGACATCATTTTTCCAAGGAAGGAAACTGAGGCTCAGTGAGCTGAAGTGATTCTTCATAACCCAAAACCCTATGTAAATAGGAGTTAATTGGACAACTGGCCTGTTGTCTCGTGATCCTTACTTAATGTTATCTGGGCAAACTTACTCCAGAATTACCATTTTCTACTTTGAATGCCAAATGGAATCTCAAAGGTTTGAATTAATTTCATATGAAATACTAAACTAGTTATATTTCTACTTGTGACCTTATAAGTAAATATTTGAAGTTGTCAAGTTCGGTTCTTCAGCCCAGGATTTCTTTGTTTCATCAAAGGCCACTTTTATTCATGTCCTTAAACCTAAGTACCCTAGACAATCATAGGACTCTTTGTAGAAGACCCTGGAATATTGTTATGTTTGATTCTATCCTGTGAACTGGGGAAATTTATGAGCAGAAAATGTGACACAAATGTGACATTCAGCTCAATGGTAATATTACAGACAGTGTTTTAAACATTTTAATAATAGGGACATTTAATTTAATTGGGACATTCTATAATTATTTACATGAGTCCATTGTCTTCACTTACTGAATCCCTACTCCAAGCCAGGTCTGTGCTAGTTGTTCTATATTCTTTATTGCTACTGCTCAAAATAACCTTACAAGGTAAGTCTTCTAAAACACTCAGGACTTTGGTTTCTTCATCTGTAATAGATAAATTTGTCCATGTCATCACAACACATAAGCAAATGCAGAGCCTGGTTTGGAATTGGTCTTTCCTTTTTAAAACCCACTTTCTACCAAATACAATAATACTAGCAAATTCTTAGGTAACATTTAAAAAGTGCCAGTACCATTCAAGGTACTAAGTACCAGGTATTGATGGATTCATTTAATTCCCTCACCAGCCTCCCGAGATATGTAGTATTCCCATTTCCTACATGAGGGACTGAAGCACAAGTTGGCTGACTTACTTACTCCCTCTGCTAGTGAGTATTAAAGAGAGGATTTAAAAGCCAGAAGTTCAGTTCAGAGTGTACACTGGAGGTGAGCTTGGTATGCTGAGCACACAACTAATATTGGTGACAATGGATGCTTATTATTTTCTTTTTCCTCATCCACTCTTACGAACTAGCCATATCAGTTATTAAAATTTTTAGAAAAAAAAAATGGGATGGGAAAGCCAAAGATAAAAAAATCTTTAAAGCTGATCTATTGAATGACAAATTTACTTCTGCAAATTGGAAAAGGATTGCCATTCCTGGGAGAGGAAAATCCCCTTACCCAGTTCATGGATCCTCACCGTTCTTCAGGAGACCCCCAAGAACTGGTCTCACCTGAGAGGAGAAAGTAGGGGTGAGTGGGACTGAAGCTCCCCATGCTTAGGTCTTCTGGAAGGAAAAGTCATGCTCGTGTCCAGACAGAAGCTGGAAGCAGCATCTTAGCTGCACACTCAGGGGGTGGGGAGCCCAGCGGCCCATAGATCACATAGATCCCAGATAGCAAATATAGCATGAAGCTCCCATTTGAGTAATTCTATTTCCTATTGCATCTCTCACTAATGAATGTCACAAATACCAGGCAGTCCAAAAAACAAATTACCTCCTATATTAGGGAGTGCAATATGTCTCATTTCAGTGCTTTATGGTATTCACAAATACTTGCTGACACAATCAGCTACAACACCAGCCTGTAATTTTCCATGGTGTGTGATGTGTCAGAGCAAATGTTGTCAGTTAGGGGATTTCAAATAGATGAAGACTGCAGAAAACCACAGAAAGGACATTGGAGATTTGAATGAAACTAAACAAGTTTTGTAAAAATGGAAAAGTAGATAATGATGATCTAGTATTGAGTTTGTACCCTTTGCTGCAAAAAGCAACAAAAGAAGTTAATGGATTCTATAGCTCATAGAAACTTACAGATGCTGTGTTGTAGGGAAAGAGGAGTAGAACTATCCATATGCACTCTTAGAAAGGTTACTTTGGGATGAACATTCAGGTTCTTGTCTTTCATGCCTTGCCACTGAATATTTCCTTTTAAAAATAACCTTGGCATGTAATCTTTATTTAATATCAGCATCACAAAGCCATGGCTCTGTGACTCAGTTTGATTTGCAGACATGATTCTTTAGAGTCACAATTAAAAAAAAAAAATGTTGCCAAGCTGAAAAAGTTATACACTTTTATGCAGAAATCCTTGTTATAGTTTCTCCTGAAAACTTCGAAGAACTAGCATTACTGGGCAGAATTCTCATTCATCAAATGTCTGTTGGTTGTTCACTTTCTAGAGCACTCTGTACTGGGCGTCAGGGAAACAGTGGTGAGCAATGGAGAGAAATCCCTGATCTTGTGAATGCACATTCCCAGGGAGGAGAGAACTGCAGTGGTTTATTCATAATGCAAAGAATTTATGTCACTGGCTCACTGATTCAGGTTCGGTATAAGTGATGGCTGCTCTGAGGGAGTGATGTTTGAGCACAGACCAAGGTGATGGGAAAGAGCCCATCACAGAAAGATCAGAAGGGAAGAGAACATGTGGTGGGAACAAGTTTGTTGTGTTCAGGGAACAGAAGGAAAGGAAGCGTGAGTGGAAGAGTTAAGTAGAGGGATGACATTGGGGAGAAGGTCAGGGAATGGTTTGTTATAAAATAGAGTCACTGATGGTTTAAGCTGGAGGACATAATCTGGTTTAGATTATTAAAAAAAAGTCTCTCCATCTGCAATGTAGAGAATGGAATGTAACAGAACAGGAGAGGAGGCCAGGAGGCCAGGAGACTGGTAAGTGACTGTGTCGTTTAGGTGAGAGATTGGACTAGACTGGTGAGTGGAGGTAGAGAGAAGTGAAACCAATTAAGAATATATTTTGGCGAGTCCAGGGCACTCACTGATGAACTGAGTGAGGGGGGAAAGAACAATCGAGACTACAGCCTGGATTTGAAGCTGATGCAATTGGGTGGATGGTGGCCCATCTTCCTTAGTTAGGGGGAGCAGGAGGAGGGGCAAGTTTGGGAGGCAGGGAATTAAGAATTCTATTTGAGCTAAGTTAAACTGTGTTAAATAGAAGAGATGTACCAATAGACACGCGAAGATGTCACAAAGGCAGTTGCAGCTAAGATTCTGTAGTTCTGGGGAAAGACACGGGGTAGAGATATAAATATGGGTGCCGTGTCAATGAAGGTTCTGGAAAGAAGCATGTGATACTTTAATGGGAACAAGGAAGAAGGTTTATGAGGAGACTCTGTAAAGTTGTTGGCAGAGGATTAAGGAAAGCTGACAAGAGATGGCAAGAAAGTAGAGCCGCTCTCAGCCAGAGCTCAGCAGAATCATAAAGAGGGAGCGCTGTCAGAACCCGGTGTGAGAGGTTGCAGTGTAGGAATGGCTGCCTGGAAGGAGCTGCTTCCTTCAGTAGAGAAATGTTGACCCTATCATTTCATGACCTGGTGAGGAGGAATTCATCTCTTCTCACCACTGGCTCTCCCATTGGCCAAACACAATGAGAAACCAGAGAACAAACAAGGCAGCCTTGCAGGATGTGGGACTGGTCTTCCTGATGACGTATGTGGCAGGGTCACCAGCCAAAAGCTGCTGGAGGAAAGGGTGGTGTGAGTGGGAGAGTAGGTGGGGAGCCAAATAGGGAGGGAGGGTTGAGGCAGGAGAAGGAGGTCCAGAGTAGATCCTGAAGAGTGTAGAAGGCCCCAGAATATATGCCCATTGTTTGCAAGTGAGATCAGTCAGCACAGTTGTGTTTCCTTTCCCTGGCCACACTTGGCTGCTCAGGTCAGCTGTATAGTCACGTGGAGCTCTGCCAGGTGAGCATGAAAGAGGCAGAAATAGATGGCGAAGAGAATGGTGCTTGCTTGAACTGCCACTTGGAAAAATTCAACTGGAGCTGAAATCCTTTGCTCCCCTCCCACCCCCATTTGGGTGCTATGTCTCCAGTCACCTGAGACCACACCCTTAACCCATTTCACTCATTAGCTTTATCTGTCTGGCCTCTGTGACTATTTCACTTTCAGAATCCAGCTTTAATTCATGAAGTAATCAGGTTTTATCTTTCAACAGTTTGAAAATGATATTCAGACCTATCATTTCATCATCTCTTTAGTAGAGAGATATTTTTAAGATCTTGGGCTCTGGTATTAGACTGCATAGATTTCTTTTAGCACAGTGTAGCCCTGGGCAGGTTGCTAAATTTCAGTCTTTATTTGCAAAACAGAGATAATAACCATACCTGCTTCAGAGGATTGTTTGAGGATCAAATGCATTAATGCTTATAAAAATGCTTAAAACAGCATCCAGCTTATAGTCTGTGGCCTATAAATGTTAGCTATTATTGTTACCATTAATACTACAGGTAGGAACATCAGATGAAGGAGAAAATGAAATGGACAAAGGATGTGGGAAAAATTTGTTTTCTTCTTTCCTGTTCTTCACTTTTCAAGGCACATCACCATTGGTTTGGTTTTTAGCCAAGATGTCAGTTCAGGGCAAACCATCCATACCTTCTCTTTGTTTTTTGCAACATTGATGAAAACTGGCATTTGAAGAAATAGTGGCTGAGCTTCTAGGGAAGAAAGCATTGGGCTTGGAGTTAGAAGCTCTGGAGCCAGCCAAGTTCCAACACAGGATGACTTTAGACAGGTCATGATAACCTCCTCCATTCAGAGATGAGGACACTGAGTTCCAGAGACTTTGGCTGCAAGATCTGCAATATCTTCCAGATATGAAAGTCTTATCGTTGATTTCCAACCGGTGCCAATTATAAATGCAGCTCCCGTGAAAAATATTAAAAGGAACCCAGGAATAAAAAAGTCAAGAATAGTGTTACATCTTTTAGCCCTGGTTAAGGAAGGACCATGTTTATACCTGCCATGCAATTTCATGTTGGAAGTGGTAAAGGCATTAAGCCAGAGATTTTGTTAATCCCCATGTTGAGTGGTTGTAAGGCTCCTCCAGTGAACTTTATGACCTCCTCAGTACTGAAAGGACATAGAATTCTAGTACTTTTCTTCTAGACACTGTGCATTTTAATAGTCCTTGAATGATCCTATTTTACCTCATCTAGAATATCTTTGATAGAGTCAATGTACTTTGTTATTACACATTGACACAAGTTAGATGAAGTGAATGTCTACTCTTTCTTCTAGGTCTCCTACCCATCCCAACCCTCTGATACCCTCTGCCCACCCCAGTCCAGTGGTCAGCTGAGCTGTGCATCCTAGAGAGAAGAAAACCTTTAGTCCATGTCTTGGGGCTCCAGGGCATGGGAGTCTATGAAACAGTTTTGGAGTAAATAGGAGCTCTGAGATCCCAGGAAGGATTTGAAAAAAAAAAAAAACACTTGATTCATGGGTATTATTTACCACCCTCTCCTGCTCCCCACCCCCGACATTTCACACTTCAGCTACAAAGAAAAGGAGCTTTCAAAGTGACAAGGCAAATATTTTTATTTGCTGGACAAACATCATCCTTGTGCCTTCTTTAGTGGGTATTTGTCCAGACTGCGAGGGTCTTGGAGATGTGTCCCACTTCCCCGCCATGGGCCCAGGCTGCAGAACATGTGTTCTGGATGAGCTGCCTTGAGGCTGGCCCTCAAAATCAAAAGACAAGGGAGCAGACTCCACGTGTCACATCAGCAACCTTTCCCCCAATTCCTTTTCAAATGAAAGTTTATTAAAAGAAGCACTAACTCAAATCACAGAGTCCTGTGTTTGGAATAAATGGTCTTGCAACAAACATTTCCGTCTGTAAACGTCTAAACCTTTCAAAAGATTAAAGGAAATTAGTGCTGGCGTGTTTCATTAATTTGGCACCACAGTGGAGGAAATGTGGTACTCATTTCATTTGGGTGGATTATGAAATGTGTCAGTTTTTCCATTCTCTTTCTCCAGGGCATTTTTTTACTGCAAAGCCTGTCATGATGACATCACAGATCCCAAAAGAATAAAAAAATGCGGCTGCAAACGGCGTAAGTAGTGCTTCTTCCCTCTCCCTCCCTTCTCCTTTTTTCCCCCCAGTTCATTTCCCTTCTCCTTTTCCTATTAAACACTAAGCATCAAGAGTTTTCTTGAATATGTTTATGTTTCACCCAACAGTTTAAAGAGACATGAAATAAATACCTGTCCTCACTTTATTAAAGCAGAGGATGAAAAATCACCACTCTCAACACCTAGGCCCGAATCTAGGGCCTAATCCCACTCCTTGACTCTAAAGGGGAGACTAAGCAGAAGTGGCCAGTGAAACATAATAAGTTCCTGTATGAAATGAAGGACAACTGAGGCCCTGGAGGAGGGGGAATTTTTGTAGAGTGATTCCAGAGGATGGGGGGCCCTCAAATGTAAAGATGGCAGTATTAACCTTGGGAGGGAAACTGAGTCTGAGGAGTTGGCTTCCCACATTGTATCTGACTCTGTTTCCCGTTGGGATTCCTGCAGGTTTTGGTACCAAAGGGCAGACATTTCAAATGTGATATCCTTAAACTGGCCTAAGAAAAGACCTTGGCCATCATTGATGGACTTTGTTATTGTCCCAGGAACCACTGTCAAATACTATTGTGCTTTGGGATACATTAGATTGGGCCTGGTAGCTTCTGGTATATCCTATCCAAAACCCAGCCTCTTCCAAAGTAGCTTTCCAATATAAGGAAAATAGGGTAATTCAGGATATTGGGTTTTGAGGTCCCAAGAAACCAGATATTGAAGTGGGCTTTGCCTTGAGAAGTACATGCCTTTTGCAGCAATTATATTGCATTGCCTAACAGAAATTGTTTACAAACCAAGAGAAAATGATAATGACGCCTTTCTTCCGATGGTGATTTAGTGTTTGCAAAGCTTCTTATGGTCTTTTTCTTTGATCCTCATTGTCACATCCCTGTGTGATTTTTATCCCATTGGTGTTATTTATCCCATTTTACAAAAAGAGGACATTAATGCTGCAAGTTTAGCAAGAGGATGAGCTTGCTGGGAGTCACATAAACCCAAGAGAAAGGGGATTGGAGGCTTCCAGTGAAATAGCAAGGCTATGAGTCACATCTTTTTAAGCATCTTCTTTGCATAAGGCTCCATTTTTGGTGTTGGGGATGGAGTGGTGAGCAAGACAAAATCAATGTCCTCCTGAAGCCTTCACTGTAGTTAATGAGATGAAAATAGTAATCCACAGAAATAATGAAATAGATCTAGAAACAAGCGCTGGGAAGAGAGACTGCTGAAGTATGAGCAACCTTGTAGGGTGGTGCTTTCACCAGCAAGTTCTAGAAGGCCTCCCTTGGGAGGTGACATTGAATCTCAGGCCCAGTTCAGGTAGGCAGAAGAGCAAGAGCTAAGACCAAGAGGCATGAATAAGTTTGGTGCATTTGAGGGAAGGGAGGCAGGCCAATGGGGCTGGTGGTTTAGGGAAGAGAGTTTCAAGATAAGATCAGCTGGACAACAGTACTGTGGTAAGACCCTGGGTTTTAGTGCAATAATAACATTTTAAACAAGGAGATGACACCATCAATTATTTTAAAGGATCTTCCTGGTGATTGTCAGAGAACAGGTTCTAGGAGGTAATACTAGAGGTGGAAGGATGAAGTTTCTTTGACTCCTGCTCTGATTCTGGACTGTCCCTCCTAGGGCACTATAGTGCCAAACTTTAAAGTCCCTAGAATTGAGGTTCAGTCTCTGGGATAATTTTTCCCTCTTACTTTCAGGCAAGCAAACAGCCGTCATTCTGGAGGGAGAGGCATATAATTGTTTGAAATAATTTTGTTCTTTTCATTTGCCTTAAAGTTGGTTCAGCTCATGAAGTGTATAATCTCCCATCACACACAGCACAGATTTCTACAAAAGGACTCCCTCTCCAAAGCCAAGCCAGCATGTCAGGGGTCTCGCTGCCTTCTCTCTGCACACCCCTCCCACCTTGGGCACCTCATGTCATAGCAGCCCTAGGCTGTGAGGTTAATATTTGATAACAATCAGAATTATCCAAATATTATTCTTCCTAATTAAAAGGCCAGAGCAGCCTGTGTTGCAGACAGAAGGGTGCAGATGTGTGTGGGGGGGGGGGCGGGGGATGTGGGGGGGGGGTAGAATAAAGTGAGACATCAAACATGACCACCCCTCACTTCCCAGGTGAGTGAGGAGACTGGGGCGCTAGGTTTCAGTTGGAAGGAAAACTTCACTACAAAGAGCTAGAATTCTTTATAAAGCACTGGGGAATCCCCATACTTCTGGACATACCTTCCCTAGTGCCCTAAGCTGGAGCAGGCAACTGGCCTACATAGACTTTTGTCCAAACCTATTAACCAAGTGTTAATAAGTCACACCGGAATTGGCCAGCTCCACAGAGGCTGAGCTGATGATCAGTGCTGGGCTTTATCCATAGCTTCCTATCCCTCTCCTCCCAACCTTGCTCTTCCCTTTCTACCCTGCCCTCCTTCCCCTCCCCATCACTCAACAAACAGCCTGAAGTGTTTCATGTCATACTATCTGGAGAAACAGCGAATGTGGACATTCCATTTCTGGAAATTCTATGGTAGTATACTTTAACTTTTGCGTTTCTTTCCATTTCTTCATAGCTTCCATCAAGGAAGAGTCAAACTCAACTGTCTGAGGAGCAACCTCTCAGAGTCAACTGTTTACCCTTTTCCTTTTTCTGTATAACAAACCTGGTCTAATGATTTACATTTTCTCCCCCAGCCTCTAAAAGTTTGCCAAAGGGTGGACTCCTAGGGGACAAGTCATGTCTAAATTGATGTGTTTGAAGGAATTCTCTTTAACTTCTAATCATTGACATATCTTTGATTTATTTTTTTTTCTCTTTGCTGCCTTGGAATACGGCCCCCACTCTATTTTAACTGCACACTGGTAGTGATATATTGTGAGTAAAACGGGTTCCCAGCAGCCCGGAGTCCAGTTCCCCCTGTCTTTCTCTAGACAAGATACTTCTTTTTATTTTCTGTGCAGTTTCCTTTTTTTTTCTTTTGGTATTTATGTTGCATGTAGCAGTGACATCATGCCCTAACTCCCCCATCCAACACAGCCTGCAGAGTAGCCGGGAGCTGGAGAAACCTGAGCAAAGGAATCCCCATTGCTCATCCACCCCACCCCCAGCCTCTTACCAGCTAGTGGCGCCGTCTTATTTTTCCACTTGAAAATAAGACCTTTACAACAGTGTTTCTCTTGAAGGCCTTGTCTCAGGACCTTTAGGGGACACTGAGTAGGCTGAAGTAATTACCACTACAGCTCTAGATGCCCCCTCAATTGGGGGTCATTATCATGCTTGCCCTATGATTAATTATACTTGGTCTCCTCTGCTATAGAGCTTGAGTTCCACATATGCTGCATATATATTCCTCAGTTGTGATATATATATGATATGTACCAGTACTCTATGTGTAAAAATGCATATTTTTATATATAAGCATAGAGTTATTTTATAGAGTGATGTATTTATTACAATATATGTGTCTCTATATGAAAAAGTGCTTGCTAGAGAATTAATTGGACACCTAACCCGGGGACTGTAAGTATCTAAACTGCCTTATCGGAGACAAGTATTTCCACAGTGGTAATTATTTCCTGTAGTCTATGAGGTTCCCTTGCTCTAAAATAAAATTTCTCTTTCGCTCAACACCCCTGAGGACACACAGAGTTCCACTATGGGTGTTAGTCAGGTGTCTTCGAAGATCCTTATTTAAGGCAGGAAGAAGGCTAGAGGAGAATGTTCCATTAGTGAGCTGGGTAGACTGCTGAAGGACTAACTGCAAGTGTGTGAGCTTACTCAAGAAGCAGGACCCTTTTCACCCACAAGAGGTGGTGGTCTCAGAGCTGGTATTTCTCTAGGTGCAACGTTGCTTTCGTGGCAACAGCAATGAGCATTGGGTCTTTATGCAAGTGTGTGAGTCCCTGAAAACAATACCCAACACTGTAGACCAGTTCAGTACAACCACTCTGGAACTTGGAGAAGTCTCAGCACACAGTCCTATTTCTGTACAGCAGGCAAGTTGTTCATCTGGTTTGGGCTGGTCTTTAGAGTTTGCTCAGTGTGCAAACAAAACAAAACAATGACCTTCTTCGATGTGAAGCACAGTTCTGCCAAAACTGACTCCACAGCTCCTGTCATCTGTAGAGCACCTTTAAGGATGGCTTGAGGCCATGAGCCACTTTTATACCTGCAGAGCTGCCTACTATATCTAATGATCCTTCGGAATCAGATGGAAAATGTGGTGTCAATCAACAAACACCTTTAGTGCCAAATTCCTCTGCCTTTCCCAACCACAAGATGGTGGCCAACTAGTTTGGTGTGTTCTGTGCTGCTGCCATTAACTAGCTTTTTCTTTCCACTCTCTCCACTTTTGGAAAACTACCTGGAAGATCTTTCATTTCCCTCCAGAAGCTAATAGGAGGAATTTTGCTAAGTGAAGACATCAGTCCTCATTTGCAGGACTTGAAAGAATGCCCTCTGATTCCCAGTGTCACATCAAACAAATGCCTCAGGCTTACACCTCGGTGGACTTTGTCTTCCATGGATATTTTTACTTACAATTTCAGTTGCTGCTGAGCTTTTGAAGGGCAGCCATAGGGTCAGGCTTGAAAATAATCCTTTCTTCATTGGACTGATTTTAAACATGCAGTTGTGATCTGAAAAGTGTCTGTGAACTGACTGGCAGATTTTTTTTTTTTTCCATCCACACCAGTCTTCCCTAGAATTTGCTCATTTGAAACCTAAAATATTTTTCCCCCAGCAGTTGGAAAACTCCACCTGAGCCTCTCTGTCCAGAGCCACTTTTCCTGCCCCTTCCAACCCACCCTGGAAATTAAGATTCTGCAATTGGAAATTGGCTGACGATTTGGTGGCTGATACAGTGGGCAGATGGTGTTGAGAACAGGATGGAGTCCAACTCCCTCTTCCATTCCAGGCTTGGCTCATAAGGGCTAACTGCAGAGAACCTGAGTTTGATAGCTGATTGTCAGTTTGACACAGGAAAGT